ACATTAATCCGCCAACTATATTTCCTCGCTAAACCAATGAATCTATACCACATTTTTTTGCATCGTGAAGGATCGCCGCCGAACGCACAGATGCGTACCGCCTGGTGGACGGGCGCAGAAACTGCGCAACAACATCTGTCTTAGCACGTGGGCAGCGTTGATGTAAACTGAGCAACAGCTTCCGCGGTGCGGGCGGAGGCGCTGAAAACTGCGTGAGAGCTTCTGTGGTGGCTGGCGTGATGCGGCGGTTGCTCGTACCCCGCGGTGGCAATAGGCCGGAGCGGCGCTTGGCTGCGAGGGCCGCTCGAGGCTGCTTGCAGCTTTAATTATTATTATTATTCTTCCACCCAAATGAATTGGCTTTTTGGGGGCTTTATCATATTCAAAAACTCACCAAACTTGGCGGAGGCCTTAAGCCTGTTTAAAATTTACGTATTTTAAAGTCGTAGCAAAAATTGCAACAGAAATGTCTGTACGGCGCCACCTAGAAATTGGAAAAAACCCTTTTTTTACCCTCTGCTATTCACTTACTTTATCGTAGACACATGAAATTTGGTACACTTGTAGAACTCCCAAGACGCTCAAAATTTACAATTAATGTCATAGTGCAAGTATCACAGGAAGTCAGCCATTTTTGATTGAAGTTCCCATTTTGACCCCATTTTTGCCGATTTTTGCCGTTTACAGCCTTTGTATTTGATCTATCTCCTCCTAGGGATTTTGATTGATCGACTTCAAACTCGGTCAGTGTGCTCATAAGGCATGTCCCATCTAAAGTTATCTAAACGGTGAGTTTTTGACTATGCTGAAGGGGGGTTAGCAGGGGTCAAAGTTCACCTACTCGCCATAAAAAAATAAACTGCTATATCTCTTACACTGAAACTCACAGAAGCATCAAAGTTTCTGTGATTGATCATCATCGGGTCTTCTACAATACCCTATGGTCGAATGATGACATCACTTAGGCCACGCCCCCTGAGAACAGGAAGTGTAATGTTTTACTGTGAACTGTCGCTATCTGACCCCTTTGACCTCATCAACATGAAACTGTGCCCAGACACAGAGAACATGTTGGTGTATTGAGGATTCCAACCCCGACCAGCTACGATGGAGCAGGTGGGCGTGGTGGCGTGGCGAAGTCACCTGTAACGCCATCGCCATACGTTTGGCTCTCAATTCCACATTTTCGGGCCCAGCTGCTGCAAACTCATAAGGATGGACCCTCATCCACTCCCCAACAGGAATCCATCACAATATTTGGTGGGCGTAGCCTAATTTCTCTATAGCGCCCCCTAGAAAACTTTAAATGATCAGCCCCAAGCCATGCTTTAACCTACAAATACGAAACTTTGTACACATGTGTACCTTGTCAGGACGTACAAAAAAGTCTCTTGGAGCCATTGTCTAAACCCCACAGGAAGTCAGCCATTTTGGATTCAAGTTCGGTTTTGACCCATTTTTGCAGTTTACAGCCTTCATATTTGATCTATCTCCTCCTAGGGATTTCGATTTATCGGCTTCAAACTCGGTCAGTCTGTTCATAAGGCATGTCTCATCTAAAGTTATCTAAACGGTGAGTTTTTGAGTATGCTGAAGGGGGGTTAGCAGGGGTCAAAGTTCACCTACTCGCCATAAAAACATAAACTGCTATATCTCCTACACAGAAACTCACAGAGGCACCAAAGTTTCTGTGATTGATCATCATCGGGTCTCCTACATTACCCTATGGTCGAATGATGACATCACTTAGGCCACGCCCCTGAGAACAGGAAGTGTAATGTTTTACTGTGAACGTTCGCTATCCGACCCCTTTGACCTCATCAACATGAAACTGTGCCCAGACACAGAAGACATGTTGGTGTATTGAGGATTCCAACCCCGACCAGCTTTGATGGAGCAGGTGGGCATGGCGGCGTGGCGAAGTTACCTGTAACGCCATCGCCATACGTTTGGCTCTCAATACCACATTTTCGGGCTCAGCTGCTGCAAACTCACAAGGATGAATATTTATCCACTCCCCGACTGGAATCCATCACAATATTTGTAGGGCGTGGCCTAATTTCTCTATAGCGCCCCCTAGAAAACAGCAGCCCATAGGTTATGTTGTTATTAATTATTTAAATATACATTATTATAACTTTTTATATATATAAGTTTATTTTGTGGGTTAAAGTACAAACATTCATTCATTTTTGCTAGAAATAATACAAACAAAGTCATTCAGCAAAACTTATGACACAGCGAAGTAAGAACACACTGGGGTCAGTGTTGATGGAGTACTACTGGCACCTTGTGGAGAAATACTGGTACTGCTAGTGCAATACCAGTATTGCGACAGCAGGAGGCAGTGGTACTCCATCAATGAGAAAACAGATCGACGCTACGTAATAACAGTCAGCCGGCGACAGCTGGAGCTGCAAAGTTTTCCTGAACATTTTGCTTGCTTTTTGGAGCCACAGAACTGGACTACGCTCAACATTTTGCTTGGATTTTGGAGTTGCAAATACGAACCACGCTTTGGAGCAAGAAGGCTCTGTTGGACCGGAGTTGGAGAAGTTTAATGGGCTCTTTGCACCTCAGCTTACACGTTCGGAAACACGGCTGAAATGTTTTTCCAAGGTAACAATTAATAATGTACATCGATCCGAAACCCCAACAAGTAAGGCAAAGAAAGGTTTTAAGATGTTCGCCTCGTTATACATTCACAGATATGAAGGTGAGTTTTATTTTCTTTAAACTGCTAGCACAAGCCTGCTAGCTTTCTAGTAAAAATCTGCTATTTAATTATCTAAAGATTTCTCAGCCATTCTAACGGACACTGTTTGTGCCTTATTTCAAGCATATTACGTGTGTTTATTGTTAACTGGAGAGGGCGTGGGGGGGCAGATTACAGTTCAGACTTTTTGCTTGAAGTATGACGAAGAAAAACGAGCACAGAGCTTACTCTGGTATCGGAGTTCTAGTTCAGCTGACTGTGAGTGGCTGAACAGATTCAGAGTTATTACTTTTAGAAAAATATGGCCGTGTTGCTTAAGATTTCTGTGTTATTTCGTTTTATTACTTTTGCATGCTTGTTGTGAATGGCTCATTAAGACGGTGTTTAGAGCGGTGTGTACGGCGTTAGCTTCAAGTGGTAGCTTTAACTTGTAGCAACGAATATTTACAAGCTGTCTTAATTGAGGATGGCTTGGAAATCCATGAAAACTTAAACAAAGTACATAGTATTGTTTTATTTGTGTCTTAAGTACGACTTTGTCTTTTATAGCAGTCATAGTTTCTGAAAGTGGAAAAAAGAGCCGCATTCGGGTATACAGTTGTGACGTCAGCGCGGCAGGTGCAAAGAGCCCATTGCTGTTCGTTTAAACAGTCGTAACTCGCGGTGCGGTGAGTAATTTATTCCTTCCTGCTGGTTCTGGAAGCCGTCATGTTTGGAACAGTTATTCTGAGGAGGATGCTAACCCAATGCCTGAGGCCTGCAACGTTTTTAATGCTAACGAAGCGCTTGACTAATTCAATAAACTGAATAGTGTGTGTGATACATCCAGTTTCATAAATTCAGAGTTGTTTGTTATTATGTATAGAAGATGTTTAAAATGTCGCTTGAAAGAGCTCTGAGAAAATGCTAAGTATCTTTTACCGATCCATTGGGGTTGTAATATTTAGTTGCAGCACTTCCTGTGATTAATACCTAATTAATGGGTGGGATTGAGCCTGTGCTATTGTTCTAAAGTGCTGAAAGTTAACTGTGCTCTGTTATTGTGCATTGCCCTTGGTTTATTACTGAACAGTGCGGTTTATTAAACTGATACATCTTAACCTTCACCATTTCCTGACTCATTTCACGATAACGTCAAAGTTGTACTGCATTTACATCTCAGTTGTAGTTAACATCAAGCATGTGGGTGTGGCTTAGTGTAAAACTTTCACTATTTACCATGAAACATCAACATTAAATGACTTCCAAATGCAAGATCACAGCTGCATCATCACACTTCCTCTGTCTTTCTAGAGAACAGCCCTGAACACATTTCCATGGTCACTTGATGACCTCACTGTAGCCCCGCACACTTTTAAGAGGCAGTCACATGTTTTTTCTGCTGTATGTTTTACTGTTATTCTATAATTTATATGGGTTTCATCATGTGAATACTGACTAAAAACGATAACATGATGAACACTATGAATGCTGGCTGCTGACCGAACCGCATTGGGGTGTAGAAATGACGAAATGCATTACTTCGCCACGTGCATATGATCGGCTCTAAATGACACGGATCATCGGACTGGCGCCAAATTGAAAACGTATGACCTTTGTTGACCTCTAAAGAGCAAAACAGCATTGAAATGTATTTTGACTCCACTGCGCCCCTACATTAATCCGCCAGCTGTATTTCCTCGCTAAACCAATGAATCTATACCACATTTTTTGCATCTTGAAGGATAGCCGCCGAACGCATAGATGCGTACCGCCTGGTGGACGGGCGCGGAAACTGCGCAACAACTTCTGTCTTAGCACGTGCGCAGCGTTGATGGAAACTGAGCAACAGCTTCCGCGGTGCGGGCGGAGGCGCTGAAAACTGCGTGAGAGCTTCTGTGGTGGCTGGCGTGAGGCAGCGGTTGCTCGTACCCCGCGGTGGCAATAGGCCGGAGCGGCGCTTGGCTGTGAGGGCCGTTCGAGGCTGCTTGCAGCTTTAATCCAAATTAAATTCCCCTCCTACATGAATAAAATCTCAAACCTTGTTCAAACTTTGATATTAAAGTTTTGTTTTTGATATGAAGTTGTCTGGAGACAATCTGACAACGCTGAGCATCATTTTTAAACGAGAATACAAAAACAACGCATCTTCAGTCAGACTTCTTCTGACTGAAGATGTCTGATGTAAACTGATGAAATACTGACCACTACAGGAGATCTTGTGTAAAATACAAAAATGTGACCAGAAAAACAACAACCTCAACACAAGCAGAGAACCAGGCACATAAAACAGGAGTCCAAGCAGTTCACATTTAATGCCCTGGGCTTTATTTTCTTATTTTAGTGAGAGTTCTGTCACATTTTTTAAGTCTTTTCAGCCTCCAGGTGGGACAAGTAAACCTCAAAGATATATTTTGCCATTGGACTGGGCATTCAGGTTCTGACAAAGACAAGAAGCACTACTAAGTAATGCTGCCTTTGTGCCTCTAACTCTTCACGGAAGAGACGACATACATTTTCCCCAAAAGGAAGGCACCAAATACTTGTGGTTTTGGCCTCGCAGCCATCTGGAGATTCGTTTCACCAAGAAGAAATAAAAAGAAGAAAAAAATAGAAAGAAAATAGGAAGTGAGAAAAGAAATTCTCACAAACACCCCTCATTGGGATTATTTTTTTTCTCTTTTCGATATTAAAAACTGGAATGATGAAACAGCGATTACTGCCCGTTCACCTCCCTTATCACCTATGCATGAACAAGTAACAAATGAACTAAAGAATGAAGTCTTAAAAAAAAAAGCTTACAATCAATTTAACCACAAGGAGAAAAACAAAATACAAAAATAGCTTTTTTTGTTTGTTTTGTAAAAAAAAAAAGAAAAGAAAAATAAAGTCAGATAAAACAATTAAAGGAGACTCCACTTGCATGAAAATGACAGATGACTCCTTCAAAAAAAAAATACAAAAGCAGCATTGATATTTATATAAAACAACAAAAAGTCACAAAACAATAGTGCTTAAATTAGAAGCAGAAGCTTCTGGGAAGAGACTTCATCCCTGTTTTGTTACTTGTGTTTGGGACATTAAATGAAGAGGAAGAGTTGCTCCTCCTCCTCCTCATCTGCATCACAGCTCACTTTAATGTGATCCAAGGGGGAAAAAAACGAAGCAAAAAAATAAATGATATGAGGGTGGTGGTGGGGTGGGGGACCTGCTTTGTGTTCACAAAATACAAAAATACCCAGGAGTCCGTAGCTATCAAACATACACAACAGCACAGGAACCAACAAAGGTACAGTGTACAAATAAAAAAAAATAAACTGAAAGCAACAAACAAAAACAAAACAAATTGTAAACACAGCACAATAAATAGATAAAACCAGCAGGCTCCGCACCATGCACGTGATAAAACTCTTCTCTGTACATCTCCTCTCACACTCGCCACAAGTCAACTTGGCTTATTCTTTTTTTTTTTTTCCTTTAAAGTTTGACTCCCAAGTGCAAAACATCACAAATGGACAGTTCTGTATTCAAGTAGTATATATACACGTGAAGAGGGAGGGGGGTTATTACAAATATGTAGTTGCTGTACAGATACTAATTTATGTCATATTTATAGTTTACATGAGTCAATATTTTTTTGACGGTAACAAAAACAAAAAAAAGAAAGAAAAAAGAAAAAAGGATGTAAAAAGAGATGAGTCGGCGCTCCGCCCGCTTCCAGTCCTGCCGTCCCTTTAGCGCCCCCCGATGCTACGATGCACAGCACCTACAGAGTGGAGCCGCCGCCGCCAACGCCGCGCCGACACTACGTCACCTCCATGGCCACTGTGTTGTCTGCTATACTGTTCAGCGCCGGCTTGTCCTCGTCGTGGTTGTCCCTGAGAGAGACGAAGACGGAGACGTTATCCCCGCGTCGGGCTTAGAATGGGCAGGAGTCCAAGGTGTGCAAATATTTCTTATGGGAGACATTATAATTTAATGAGATCTGGCTCCTTCTTACTTCTTTTCAAACTTTATTTTCATTTTGTTCAATATGGATATAAAAATTGAGCTTTTTTTATTTTTAAATTTTTAAATGTTCTGAGTACGAAGCTCAACACATCTGATTGAGATTTGTTGTGGGTGACCGGGTAGTAAAATTAATCATTTTTGACATATTTCCAAGTAAATGCGAACACAACAAAAATACAAAGAAGGTGGGATGGGTGATGAAAAACTACACTTTCACCCTGAACACATCAAGAGTGCTTTTCAATTGGCAGAAATGAAATGAAAAAACAGCCTACTATAAATCAATTCCAAACATTTTAGAAAAAGAAGAAGAAAAGAAAAGCGTTTGGAAACATCTTTCACACTTCTGAGTCAGTGAGAAGAATGATATATTGACCGCAACTTATTTTGTTGATGTATAGACAGAGTTTCACCTTCCAGGACGATGACAGCCAGAAATTTATCGACTCAGAGTAGCTGAATAATATTTTGGATTTTCAACTTGCAAAAAACTGATTTAATCATTTTTCTACCTGTTCCCACCTGGATGCAGATATCTGTTCAAAATGTCAAACTTAGTGCTATAAAACCTGTTAGGTTATAAGTTCTTAAAATTCAATCTGGAATAGCTTTAAGATTTTTCTTGATGTTTTTCTTACTTTTTTAGATCTTGTCCTAAGGAATATTTGTATTTTATTGCTATTAATGTGTTAAAAATTTAACACTTCTAATTATGTTATATTTATTCTGTTTGTGTCAAATTTCCTGTTTGGCACAAAACAGACATATTTCACCTCACTGTAACCAAATCTACCTAATGGTAGAAATAAAGTTGATTAAAAGCTGGCCTCTCTTCTCTGAACATCGTTAAACTCTGGATGACTGGTTTACAAGGCTCTGCTTGGCTCGGTTCCTTCTTATAAATTAACTTTTCTTCAGCGAAATGCAACCGCTAACGATCAAACAACATTCTGGGTCTCCTTGTTCCACATGTGGGAAGTGGAAAGAAAGTTTTCAGTTTCTCTGCGCATGGAGCGCCTTCCTATAGGAGCTCAAACTGTCACAACTTGTTTCACTAAAAGCTTTCAGCTCTGTCTTTAAGGGACAGTGTTATGTAAAATTGACTTTTTGAGCTTTACATCATATTGTTATTCCTAATCAAAAAGATAACTAGATGCTGCTTTGATTCTTTCATGCATGTTTGAGAAATCCTTTTAAATCTCCACAACAACCATTCATCTGTGCAAAATGCCAGGGTGGGCCTAACACTCTTCCTTGGAGCTCAGTTCCTTCAGACTAGCCAGGAGCAATTAGCAAACACCTGATGGAACGTCACATCTGCTGAGCTCATTATAGAAGCCACTCCTCAGTGAAATGCTGGTAAAATTGTTGGTGGTTTAACAGTGGATCTACGTTGTGATGGTATCCTGAAGATGGAGTTTCAGAAAGAGCAGGGAATTTTAAAGAGACACCTGCGCAATTTTAAGGTGTTAAAATACACATTTATTTTAAGTAATCAGTTTTAAACATCTGAAGTCAACAATTACTTGATTAATCTATAAAACTGCACTGGAAAATACATACTACCCCTTCAAGAAACCAAAAATGAGATTCAATCGAACAGTGCATGTGTTTTATAATAACTCCTGTACGTTGAGTATTTTTGATGTTTATTTAGTTCTTATCCATTTATTTTTTACAGTGTTGTGTGGTGCTGGCTTTCCTGGTCTGTCATAAAAGTTTTGATCTCAGTGGATTTTATCTGGTTCAAAGAACTTTTAATAATAATAAACAATGAGAGCTACTCTTGCAGGTTTACTTGCCTGGTTATATTTGAATAATAACCAGAATTTAATCTGTTCATAAAATATGATTTTTCCAAAATACCCAACTTCCTCTTGGCGTGTCCTCACCTGGAGCTCATGTCCATGGACGACGCTCCTGAGACTTTGGGCATCTGCAGGTTGGTGGAGGTGGACAACTTTAAGGCAGAGGCTGGCACGTTGCCGAGAGTCCGGGGGATGTGGCGTCCCGCCAGGCTGGCGGCCGACTGCACGCTCAGACAGATGTTGTTCCCGATGAGGACCTGAGTGGTTGTGGGGACGGCCCCGGCGGCGCCGCATCCCAGCAGCCCCAGAGCCGCTGCGGTGGCGGCTGTATGGGTGCTGGGGGTGGCGTTGATGGAGGCGGGGACGACGGTGGCAGTTGCAGGGACGGCGGCGTTGATGGAGGGCTGCAGGAAGGTCTGGGGGGCGACCGTGGTAGTGTGTGTCGACTGGTTGGTGGTGTGGAGAGTGGAGGCGGCGCTGCTGAGGTGCAGGTTTTTGTAAACGCCTGGTGAGAAAAAAACAGAAGAAACGGTTGAAGAGCCACAAGAGAAATAGACACTTCCTGTTTTTCTGCAAACTACCACACTGAGTCATTAGCAGAAGAAGAGAAACACCTAAATAATCTAATGCAATCCACCTCCAGCAGTGCGCCAACACATCCAGTGTTTATCTCACCTATCATTCAGCCTGGTTGACACTGAACGCTGATGCAACGACTAAATGATGAGCTTTCAGCAGTGCTGGAGGTGAAGGAGGATGAGTACAGCTGGGAGCCGACAACTTACATCTATGGTGTAATCCACTGAAATCTACATATGTCAAAAATCCATCATTATACTACCCGAGCACTCCTTCCTTTATGCTAACTTTTAAAGTACAAAACTAATTATAAATAAACAGCAAAATAAGATTAGTTTAAATATTGAAATCAAGAAAAAGATGGCTTTAAAGGAATAGATGTAGAGATGGAAAAATGATAAATGAATGCATGGGCGGATTGGCAAATGGATAGCTGTTTGCTGGACAAACTGGTAGTCTGGTTGGTTTGATGAATAAATTACTGATTTGATGGATAAACTAATGGAAGGATGATCAGTTTGGTGGGTGAATGGATTATTTGGTGGGTTTTGGTGATTTTTTCCCCTGAAGTTTGATGGATGAATGGTCTAGTGGTTGGATTGACAGATGGTTTTGCAGTTGGATGAGGGGTGGATGGATGGAATCCTGCAGAAAGCCTGAAACCCACCAGAACCGGTCAGAACCCCGTTGACTCCGGTCGCCAGCACCAACTCCTCTTTGGGTTTGAAGCCGAGCAGCTGATCTGTGGTGATGAGGGCCGAGGCCGCAAACTGGGCGCTGGCCTGGTCCAGCGTTTTCGACACAAGGGTCTGAAACGAGCGACACACAGAGAGAAAACGTGTCATCAGAAAGTACTGAAACAGCAGCACTCAAAATCTCTGATACCAAACAGGCGATTCCCTCATCACAGCATAACTCCATCTGCTCAGAGAAGGTGAGATCAAGTGGAGGCTTCCTACTGACCTGTGTGTTTGTGGTGGTGGTTGTCGGATTGTTGACCGGTTGTTGTTGTTGTTGTTGTTGCTGCTGCTGCTTCTGCTGCTGGCTCTGCTCGAGCTGCTGCTTCTGCATCAGAGCCAGCTGCTCCTGGTGCTTCTGGTACTGCTCGGCGGTGAACGCTGCAGACACACAGAAACGGAGATCAGAACCAGATGATGGCAAAACAACGTCTTTATGGGAACAACGGATTCTAAAATAAACGCTGCTGATTCAGAGGGAGCTGCTTCAGCAACTTAAAAATCAGTGAGTGATCAACAATCCATCGCAGCAGATGAGGTCACTTTCAACTGCATCTTGGAGAATTAATGCTGAAAAATATTCAAACTTTGCAGGTTAAAGATAGAATGGAGAGGCATCTGACATGATGGAAATTTGTGCTTCCTTTAATTAAAACTGTCTGCTGAAGGTTGGTAGATTTTATGTGCTTAATTCAAATGCTGTGAAACCATCTTTATTTGTAAAAGGTTGAAATGTGTTCACAACAATACAGAACCAGAAAAATGTTTAGCATCTTCCAGAAAACTCCAGCTTTAATTCTAAATATGCAGAGGTAAGAAACACCATCGATTCCTGCAGAGGAAACCAAGCTTTGGAGGATCTGTCTCGAATAAGAGGTTTGAGTATTTTAAGGATCACTTATGCAGAAAAAAAAAACAATCCTTAATGTTTGCCATCAGTCTCCTTTAGCAGAGAGGAAATTAATCAACTGGTTTCACCATTAACTTTCAAACTGGTGAAGCTGAATTCAATATGACTCCAGAAAAAGTTCCCAGCTTTCTCTCTCTAACTGCATAAAAAAAGCAAAACATAAGGCACAACAAAGAGCAACAGTAACAGAGCATTTGTTTTTGGTATAGATTATTTAAATCAAAATAGATGAGAAAGCACCAGGCAGGAATAAAAGAAACTCAGAACAAGATTTCTGAAACAAAACTCTCAACTCTACACTCAAAGCTAATTCAACAAGTCAAAGTTCAACAGAAAAATCTACACTGAAACATTTAAACAAGACAAAAGGATACCTATCCCATTCAACAATAGCAAAAATATGTGTTAAACTAATTCCATTCAAAGCACCATCATGTTTATAGTTGTGATTTCAAACTTTACAAGTTGTGATGTATATAATCCAATAAAACTGACTGGTACTTCAAGATACATGGGAAGCTTCCATCACAATCGATACTCTTCCATATTTTGAGTATTAAACTACAATAATTTTAACTGTGAGGTAGAATGTAAACTAAACACCTGCTATATCATTCTGTTCTGCTGCTTTCAATGCTGATAAACTAAAGCTTCAGTAATTAATGTGGCCTTTTGACTGGGAGTGCACTGATTGCAGTTTTCTGGCTGATTACAGGTCTTTAATACAGATTTTTCCTGATGTCTGCTATTTTGTCTGGAAAGTCACTAAATATACCAACAAAGTGGCTAAGTTGACTATTGCTAACAGTGCACATACAGACATTACCTGGACAGCAGGTACGTCAGTGAGCTCTCACAACAAGGGGACACAGTGATTCTTAGACCTTTGCAGTTTGATAAGACTGCCTTAACATGCAAATATAAAATGATCACGGAGGTCACAAAATTAAGGAAATCAGAGCAGATTTATCAGGACATCCCTACTTTCAGCTGAATAAAAGTATTGCAACACAATGGCATTAAAAGTTTATTTATTTATGGAAAAATATATATAAAAGCTTCTGAAGCTCAACATTTCTATGATTTCAGATCACAATATACCAGCAAAACTGTTGAAAACTGATGTGCGACTTCTATGTTGAAAATCCAAATTGGAAACGCAAGTAATTTTGCATATTATTACAACACACCATCTCAGATTAAGAAACCAGGTGGTTTATAAAACACACAGGATATTTTCTGTATGTTCATAATTTTCATCTGAAAACAAGCTGGAAACAAAACCCCAAATTTATTTCCACAAAAAAGATAAACAGAGTCGACACTCTTTAAAGGTGAAGCTGGTAGCTTTTGGCAACATCAATATGTTCTCGGTTTTTTAAACTGTTCCACCAGCTGCAAAGCCTTTGTTTTTTGTCACATACATCAGTAATATTCCTTGTTGCTTTAATCTGTGATGTGTCAATAAGTTGGTCTAGTCAAAGCTTTTTTAAATGCCATACTGCTCAGAAACAAAGCCATTTTAATACAAGAACCACTTAAATAGTCTCATCAAATCACTGTTGCTTTGTACATTTGAGAAAATCATTTAGAAAAACTTTAATTTCTCTAACTGTAATTCTCAAATAAAAAAGTTGTTTAAATATCTGATTGAACTGATTTAAGTGTTATACTTCAGTTAAGAACTGCAATTAGGAAAATTTAACTTTCTTAACAGGTGTGAAGCTCTTTTATGTGATTCAATCATCAGGTGCATAAAACAAGCCCAGCTGCTGCCGACCAGTGGGCTCCGCTCCGTATGTCCACCTCCAGCAGTTCAGGCTCAGCGCTTTCAAACAGAAACTCCTAAAAGGAAAATCTGGAATTCAGCTCATGAATTCATGTTTCTGCTTACATGTTTGTTATGAAGGATGATGGAAGATAAAGTGGAGAAAACAGGAGGGGAAAAAAATCATTTTAAAGTTGAGGACAACTACTGCTATGCAATTAGCATACAGACTGCAACAATTTTTATTTTTAAGCCGATGTTTTTGAAAATGGATACAATCTTTCTATCGAGGTGAAACACTAACACCTTTAAATCGTCAAGTAAATAAATAACCAGGTTTATGCCGATACAATGAACCAAACCAGACAATCAAATGGATCCAAAGAAATATTGTTGGATTAAATTTGGACTTTCATTTTAGTAACACTGATAAATTTTTATCCAGAAATTCAAAGTTTCTTGCAACATTTCCAGCCCTGAAAGTAAAAGTCAGCTCAGCTCAGAGAAATTTTTCTATCTTCAACTTGACTTGGAAAGACTTTCAGGTTATCACAGAAAAATGTTACGGAGGTCAAAGAGCTTCAGGTCAGGTCGGCATTCAGCTCTACTGCAGAAACCTGCAGCATATGTCTGCAATGTGTGATAAAACACAATTACAAGAGCAAATACCTTTGCTCTTGTAATTGTGTATACATAAGATAAAAGAATGAATATGTACTAGCTATAGGATAAATGTTTTTATGATGAATCAAGACGCAGATGAGGATGATTAACCTCAATTATCTCAACAGCATAAAAGCAATTTGTGACCTGGGTCATAACATTTACATAAGCAGTTAATGGCAAATATCACATGTGAAGAGAAAAAACACTCAGATAAGATCTGTGTCATGCAGGACGTGTGAAAGTAGAAAGAAGTCTTTTGAAATACACAAAACGAGATAAAATAACCCAAGGAGGAAAACAACCAGACCATCAAGCTAGCAATAAAGTTCCCTTCCTGACTAATCTGATAATAAAGTTATTCCAAATTCTTAAAAAAGAGCACAACTTCTGATCGGCTAGCCATTGAATCCAAATATTAAAATACTAAACAGGATAGAACATAATAAACAAGGTAGTGAGTCTGTGAAAACCTTGAATCTATTTGTGAAAACTGAGATAGATCTGTGCTGAGAATCTGCAGAAGAAAACTGAATTATTCTACACTGTTTTGTCATATGTCAATATAAAGGGCGGCTGTGGCTGTGTGGCAGAGTTGTCGACTTGCAATCGGAAGGTTGTAGGTTCAATTCCAGCTTCCTCCTGCCATATGTCGATGTGCCTCTGGGCAAGGCACTTAACCCTAAATTATGAATGTGTGTGTGAATGGGTGAATGTGACTCTAATGTCAAGCGCTTTGAGTGGTCAAAATGACTGGAAAGCGCTATATAAGTTCAGTCCATTTACCATTTACCATATATATCAAAACTATCCATCTTGCTCCATGGTTGAAAAACCGGCTTCTGGACGTTTCGTAGTTGGGGCCGTTTGCTACATAAACACCAAATTCTGACAAATGACACAAAAGTTTCAAATGCAGGCGGAGGGAAAAGGTTCACCAAGGCCGTTGTGGCATGGAGGGCCGGATGACATGAGCCTGAGAAAAACAAGACGTGATTTACTTCACCTCTGTGCAAAAAGAACTGATTTTAGATCTGTGGCCCGTCACTCTGCTGCAGAAACAAGACACTCATTACACATCCTTCAGTTTTACCAGGAATGTGCTACTATAGTTGAATTCATTTCCGTTTTCTTAGTGAATACGAAGCATAAATAAAACGTCCACAAACTTTTTTTCTTATCTGTTCCCTTCTAAGCAGCAAAACCAATCCAGATGGGGGCTGAATTACAACCCTCCCTCCAAATGTTCTGAATATATTTTATACTATTCAGGTTTTAAACGGTTAGATACAAATATTTGTAGCTTTTGAGTGCAAGAGAGAAATGTGATTATGTGTCAGAAAGACAGTTTAAAACAAAGTGCTCCGTTAAATCAACCAAGAACTTCCAAAGCAGCATTAGTCTGAGGAAATCACCAGGAGAAGTTGCTCTGAATTCATCAGTGTCGTTACTGTTGGCTCTAAGTAAAAGTATCAGAATTACATTTTGAGAAACCCTAAAGTTTTTCTCCTGGATAAATTAAATGAGAACCCAATGAGAGACTAATCCAACAGCATCAACAACAATCCATTAGGTCACAGAACATCTAAAAACAAATGACTTTCCTCAGGCTCGTTCTTCATGACTCAACCATGAGAGGGAGAAACTGAAAAACATGGCCGCTGTGAAGAGCTGCTGTGACACATTTCCCAAAACAACTAAATGATCCAAGACTTTTAAGGTACTTTGTGAACTGATGTAGGGATAATAATACAAAGCAAATCTGCAAAGTCCAACTTTGATTGGCTCAAAAGAATAAAACCATAAGAAATGGATGCGTTTCTGAGTCAAGATACCAATTCAGATCCTGTGGCCCTAAGTAGGCCGTTAGTACTAGAAAACCCACCAATGAGGCTCACTAGGAAATGTATGAATATGTATTGAGTTTGTCTCTCTGATATCAGAATTACACAACAGTGACAAAAATAAAAAATAGAAGAAATCTACAGCTTTCAATAACACCGCCATTTTTCCACACATATCAGTACACATATCAGTAACTATAAAAATCTAATCAATTTACTCAAACTCCACGCCATGACTAAATCACTACACCCTAAAAAAAACAAACTGTGATCCTTTCCAAAGCCTCACATTTACATCAAAGTATGAACTCATAAAATATCCAGAAAATAAAAAAATAAAACATCTTAAAAGCCAAAAACAGGAGAAACAGCAAATATTAAACCCAACCTATGGCAGCAGAAATATGAAACAACATTTAAAGCATTAATAAACAATAAAAGATCAGCCTGAAGTGTGAAGGCTGGAGAAACAAAGGATGTCCAAATTAATCCAAATTAACAGTCAATTATTTCTTAATGATCCTCAAACTAAAATCGGTTTTTAATTATCCCAAGAAGAACGAAGCGATTGCACACAATCAGCAACATTTCTGCATTCTAAGTGAGATTAAATGAGCTTCTTGTGAGGCCAACAAAACTTTCTTTAGTTAAATAAAGTAACAAAATGAATAAACAAAAAGAGGAACAGAAAGACTCACCATTAACAGGAGTGGTGGCGGGTCCGGTGCGGTTCTGGGCTCCGGAGCCTCCAGACAGAGTCCGAGTTAATCCTGACACAGTTCGGCCAAAATCCCTAAATCCACTGCGGGAAATATCCGCTCCCCCGGCGGGGTGCTGGAATAGCGTCCGTGGTCTGAAGTGCCTCCAGCGGCACGCCTTAATGTTCAAAAGAATCCGGCTGAGGTCCACAGGCGTCGCTGACGAGGGGCGGGACCCAGCGGGGTCCGAGGTATTGGTTTCTGAGGTACTGGTGTTGGAGCTGCGAAGCGGCGAGGCAAGCGGTTCGGGCTCCGGGTCGGAGTCGGCGCTCTGGAGGACGCCCAGGTTGGTGTGAGCTCGGTCCATCAGAACCCTGGAACAAGATGCAAGAAAGTCAGTGGAAGGTCGTCCTGGGTGAAATTGCATGCCTACCCCACGAACCCAACAGGTAATCCAGTAATTACCATGTGTCTTATTCAAGGTGGGGACAAAAATTGTTTTAAGCTTCTACTTCTTTCACATGACGTGGAACGGTGCATTTGAAAAGTTTTCATTGCCCATAAGGATAGTAAAATGGGGAAGTGGGTTACACTGAAGAAGTTAATATTGTAAATGAAATAAACATATTTACAGACAAAAGCTTTTCTGTAATCTTACATGAAAAAATTTGATTTATGGCTCTAAATATGAGATTTTTTCAACAAATGGTATTTTTTTAGTCTGTATACTCCAATGACAAAAAATCCATTTCTAAATTAGATTAAAGGTTTAATTCCTAATCCAGCATGTCTGACTTGGATCATTTTGTTTCAACTTTCCAAATATCAATTAATAAAAAAAACTACTTCAGCACAGTTATGCTTTTCATTTATCAACATAAAACTCAAACCACCTACAATAAAGCTAAAGGTTGGATGTGAAAACATAGGACATCTGAAGCACCTGCATGAATAAGCAAATAGACAGGAAAAATTTAGATTGAGAGATCAGGACCAAAAACATTCACCAGCTTTGGACGTTAATGCCAAACACAGCAAGATGGTTATTTTTCTAATAAATCAAGAGCAAATAAGTCCTTTCACCAAGCAGAACGCTTTAATTGAGAGACTGCAGGATCACTCAGTCCCTGGGGTTGGCTGATAAGGCCGCTGTAAACAGAAACGGAACCCCGCTTCAGAACAAGATAAATAACCCAGATGCTCTCGTTAACAACACCTGGCACCGAGACGGAGCTCACTAAAGCTTCACTAGACGCAAGCAGACCAAGGTGCAGGATGTGTCTCAGCTGCAGCTACGCTCTGGTACCAGCCCATAGCAGAACCCCCCATTAGGACCGTCACCTCAGTCGCAAACGGCCAGCTGGGGCTGCTGGGAGGATGGTAAAGAGATGCTACGCTAAACCTCAGCTCATTTTCCCTGCTGAAACAGAAAGCGGCTCAATAGTTGGTATTTTAATCACAACTTGCAGTTCTCTGCTCTACAATACATTCTTTTCATATAGTGCTGCTTTACAAACAGTCTTCATTCTATTTCACTTGGTTTTTATGGGAAACACCAACATAAAGCAGTGAATTAACTACCAACAGCATCTTGTTTCACTGCAGCTACGGCTGAGTTCGCTGTAGCCGCTGCATCTTTCTCCTACAAAAAAACAGCTCAGTTTGGACCAACATCATCTTCAAGCAAATTTTTTTAAGCACTGCTGCAAATTCCATACTTTTAATAGGGATTAAAAATATATTAGCACTAATCGTTGAAAAAGTAGTGATTAAGTCAAAATCGTATAAAAAATATGTAAATGTTACATTTGGGATCAAATAAATAAGAATCAAGTTGTATTTAGCTGAATGTTTTGCTTCCTTGTCCCTGCCAAACAGCACATCATGATTTTGCCACCACCGTCTTTATCATGTATTATGACAATGTGCAGAGTGAAACTTCCACCACATTTGTTTTGGTGTCAAATGAGCAACTTTTTCCACACGTTTAATGAATCCCACATACCATCGTTTTACTTGTGCTGAATTCAACAAATAAGTTAGAATGCTAAAAGTTTGCATATTTCATTTCGGTAAAGGTTATCATATTTGTGTTTCTTTGCAGCCATTAAGCAAGGAAGCTCAGGATGGAGCGGTGAACTCACCTGCCCCCTCTGCCCACGCGGCGCCGTGCCAAACCGATGCAGCGCCACGGCGTATTGAGGGAGGTTAGACAGTAGCGGTAGCGCGGGTCACCGAGCCCACCCTCTGACGGGCTGACCCAGGGCCAGTTGCCAGTCTTATCTGGACGACACTGGAGAAGAAGCAGAAGAACAGCAGATTAAAAATGGGAAGAAATCAAATCTACACTTCTACTCCTTGACATGACCTTTTGGGAGTTATTTTAGTCTTTTAGCTAAACAGGCCTTAAATTAGGAGAATTTAAATCAATATGGCCAATGATAGTGTCCTTTGAATGTGAACTAACATTTACAATCAGAAACCTGGAACATTTTACCACGTAGACTTCCATTCATTTTTGAAAAACAAAAAACAACAAAACCTCAAAATTATTAAATAAATAAATGTATCCTACAATAAAATGTTTGTGAAGATGGTAAAAATGTGACGATCTGAAGGGCAGAAAAAGGTCAAAATATTGGAAATATTTTTCAAATATTTTGAAAAATGTCAAAATATTTTTCAGCCTAGCCCTTTATCACCATAAAAGTCAGAAATTGGCTAAGGAATCTCAGTTTGTGCATCTCTAGTTCTGTTCATTCTGGTTTTGTTGCATGGGAGCCCAGCAAGCGGGCAGCCTGTTGTTAGTGCTATAAATAGAAACAAGCCAGGAGTCACAGGAGGGCACTTACAGCGTAATACTGACAGCCAGCCTTTCTCCTGAATGCGTAGCAGCCATCTGGGTCATTCTCCTCCTCTGCCTCCGAGGAACCTGAATGGATCTATAAAAACAGTAATAATCAAGTCAGTTACAAGAAAAAGACTTCAAATGGTAACATTTCATACTGAAAACAACATGAATAGGAATAATTTTAATGAAACCAATCACAGCTTTTTTTCTTTTTTTTAGGTAAATGGAGACTGTACTTGACTGTCTAAATACCTGTGAGAACGGCTCTTCGTCTGAGCTGGGGAAATCATACTGGTTGAGGTCCTTAGGATTGAACACAGAGGGCCCTGAATGTTGAGGCGCCAACATCGGAGCCATTTTGGGTTTCTTCTCATATTTCCTTTTGGTTCGAACTGCCTCTGCTTTCTCAGGCTAGAAAAAAAAAAAAAAAACAACAGACACACAGAAATGACTCGTTTATCCTCCGGACTGAGCAAACCCTGCGACATTTTCAAACTAGAATCAATAATAGCTGCTAGCTCAGAGGGTGAGTCTCTGAAAAGCCTATTAATAGTCAGCAGGAACAACAGTGAGCCAAGCAGGCATTGATATGCAGATTGAGGCACGTGGCAGATGCTGCCGCCGAGCCAGATGGCAGCTATTCGCCCCGTGCCACCTTTCACCCAGACTCCCCCAGCGGGAACACACTTTCCCGTCTGAACAGACTCTATCGAGATTAGTCGGATTCCTGTCAGCCTTCAGTTTGGAGACAAAGCAAACTGAGTGGGGAGAGGTTCTGTGATGGAGAATGAATCAGCGGAGGGGAGAAAAAAATCTGTAGATATAATTCGAAATGAGACGTCAGTCGTCTGGTGGAGAAGAAATGTTGCTCTGAAGCTGATAGAGCATTAATGAGCTCACAGAGGTTCTGACTAATGAGACGGTAAAGAACGGAAGCATTCGTCAACATCGTTTTATGATAACACATCTAGAAATTCTGGAAATTTAGAGATAATCAGAAGAGAAATGTGTTTCTTGTCATTTATACCATCAGCTCCAATAATAACATATTTACTTTCAATCTTTAAGAATGTCAGAGTGCAAATATTTAACCATAATTCATGGTTTTCTTTAAAAAAGCCACAAGTTGCTAGTTAAAGTTGACTTTGAGAACATTCTGGGTTGGGTGTTGGACCCAATCTCCTCAGGGAAACGCTTGTGAGTTAAGTCAATCATCAGAGACAAAGGGTCCAACTTTACTTTTGTAATAAAACCTCCAGAAATGAGGCCAAAACGGTTTCAATTAACTATTATAATATATTATAATAGTTAATTATAATATATAATATTTACTAGCAGGCCAAGTTTCAAATGAGGAATTCAGTTAGAAATATATTTTAGTCATATATATATATATCAAATAGTGTTCAATATCACCAAATGTGTTAATTTTGATATATATATATATATATATATATATATATATATATATATATATATATATATATATATATATATATATATATATATATATATATATATAATGACAGATGCAGCTCCCCCGATCCTGAGGTAAACCAGGGTTAAGTGCCTTGCCCATGGGCACACTGAGAATTTAATAAGAGGAAGTTGGAGTCCCCAAAGGCCTGTTCAATCATCATCGCTCTTCAAGAAGGAATGATAAAACTTGCATCTTTTGAGTAAAAATAAACAGAAACTGAAATAATTGCTTGTTCTGAAATAAAGTGTTTACTGATTGCTGATGATTCGTACTTGGCTGCCATTTAGAAATGCAGAAATGTGGGACTGAGTCAGCGCAACTCAGAACAGCGACCAGTAGGAACTGTTGTGTGAAGCGATGAGTAAAACCAAAGAGTTAACATTTGTTATGCAGTGACTTCATGAGCTACAAATATGGTAGAAACTACTAGAATCCCACTTTAGCAGTAATCTTTGTTTTTTTTTCCCCCTTAGTCTCAGTAAACACAGCGATCTTTCCTTCTCCCAACAAACTAGGTCTTTATAGAGACGACCAACTGATGACTCAGGTCTGTTGGAGCTCTCCTCAGCTCAAATGTAGGTAATAAAACAAATTAAAGAAAATCACATTTCTGGACTCATTGCTCTAATTTCCTATGACTAATAATCAAAATCACCTGAAAATAAGCTAAGCATATATAATTATGAATGACGAATCAATAGAATTGAAGTTGAGAGCGGTGAGGGTGGACTGGCTTACTTTCTTATAGTCCTTCAAGTCCATGTGGTGGTCCTGGTGTCGGTACTGGTTGCTGTTGGACAGGGGGATGATGGGGATGGTGTAGACGGGCTTCACTAGCGCCCGCTGCTGTGCTTCTGCCATCACCTCAGAACCAAAGTCAGGCATCACATTCCTGATGAGAGACAAACCAAGGATATTAGAAAAAGGAGAACTTCCTGTTCCTAGTGGTGTTAACAACAGGAACACTGCACTCTACAAGCATCATATAATGAAATGGTGGGCAGAGTGGGCGTCTAACGGGAGCAGAGTGCTGCGGTCAGGGAGGGAACACTAGCTGTGATGCGCAGACAGGAAGCGGATCGGGGGAACGGCAGGAAATTGAAATGTCACTACGAATCAGAGCCACTTCAAGGAGACGGCTCCAATTTACGCTGCGCCTGACAGCTGCTTTCAGAGGACATTCATTCTGGTTTCATATGTGGACGGATCGCAGCGGAGGGAGGAAAAATATATACGACTTAAATGGAAGTCGGGGAAAGAACATTGTTTTTATACAAAGTAAACATTTTATGATAGAGTCGTGGAGCCGAGGGAGAGAAGAAATTTTCCCGGGAGAAGAGAGGAAACGAGCTCAGAGTCCTGAACGTAAGGCTCAATAAACAAACTCTAAATTGATCACACTGAAACAAGACTCCAGAAGTTCACCAACAATTAACAGGAGCAGCGAAGCAGGAGTTTAGAGTCAGCACTGATTCCCAAACTTCCAACAGATCCTGATTAAAGCTGCTAATGTGAAACAATTAACCTGTTAGAGCCATTAGGGCAAAACCAACAACCCAATCATCCAGTAATACACTGCTTCATCCATCTACCACAGGGAATCAAAAATCCTTTGAAAGTAATATTTAGATTCAAGTCACATTTTATTTGAAATTATGAGAACTTATGAATGTTTCTACACACTGAAGTTCACTGAGAATTTATGAAAGAAACTTCTGCAGTCGGAGGGATTTTAATAAGAAAGCTGCAAAAACCTAAAAAATAAATATGAATATGGATTGAGGGACAAAAAAAACCCCTAAAGATTATAAATATGATAGACTGATTGATGAGACTATAATGGGAAAACAAACAGATGGAAAAATTGATGGATGTAAAGGTTGTGGTACTGAAGAACAAAGGTGGAAAAATCTGAAGAAGTTTGGATGGAAAAATGGAAGAAAAGATAAAAACAAACTGATGAGATGAGACGGATAACTGAACAAACCTTGGACGGAAACAAACTGATTGATGAAAAAACTAAAATCTAAAGACAAACTAATCAGCAGCTGAAAGCCAGAAGGAAATAACCTGACTGCTTTCCTGACGGGAAAGATTCCTAAGCCAACTTGTTCTTCCACATTTTTCTCAGAAAAATAAGGCGTTTAGTTTCACATACAACTGACTGAGGGCAGTTATGGGGCATATAAATAAAGCAGGCTCTGATGCCAGTCGGACCTTTTCTCCACCACCTCCAGGGTGAGGTGCAGCAGCTCCCTCTTGACCTTCTCCCTCTTCTTGATCATCTCCAGGATGGTGACGGCGCGGCTCAGGTCCCTGCGCAGCTTCAGCATCTTCTCGTATGACGCCTCGTCGTTCTTCCGATTCTGACAACAGAGGAATCAACAAGCCTACCCGTCAATCCCAGCATGTTACCGCGGTCACAAGAATTGAGAAGAGCAACTAAATTCTTCTGTACAACCTTCCTGGTCTGCATCTTTTCAGTCCGTCGGCGGAAGGCCACATAGGGGTCGCTGGTGCTGGAGCCATCCCTCTTCTCCTGCTTGACGGTGGGGATGAGCGAACCGCTCTTGCAGGTTTTCCTCTTGCGGCTCCAGTAGTCAAACACCTCCTTGATCAGATCGTCGTCCTCCTTCAGCAGCAGCTTTGCTTCTTGCAGACTGACGAGCTGCAGAGGAAGAGGAGAAATCAGCCCTGTGACACCTTTCAGGTAAATTATGTTGAAAACAATCAAATCACAGTCAAATTACCACAAAACATTTTCCTTTTCAGTCATGCCGACCAATATGCTGTTCACATTGCACCAATAATGTTTGGGTTTAATAATGTTTCTGACTCCTGTGCTGTGTTTAATATAACAAAACAAAACTTGTAATAAGTTTTTGGGTACAGTTTTTTGGTACCCTGAGGAGATCAGGTGGATACCCTTAATTAACCTATTAGTGATTGCCATTATCCAGGTCAGGGTGTTACCAACAATATTGTGTTTTTACCTGCTGTCCGCTGCCCTTCTCCAGTCGATCGATCATTTCCTCAAACTGCAGCGGCGTGATTTCCATTTTCTTCTTCAGCTTATTCACAAACGTCTCATCCTCTGTGTCCAGGTCGTAGTCCGGAAGCTCCGTATCCAAACTGAAAGCTGGGGAAACACAGGGAACATTATTACTACCTGTTAGAAACGATCGAGAGGATCTGAAATTAAAAACAGATGCATTAAGTCACCTTAAGGAAAAGGAAATCTAAATATTTGAAACAGATGGATGTGACTCAACATGTCTGCACTTGCAGTTCTCAAAATGTCAGATTCAAGCTGTTAAATTTCCAAACTTTTCCAGGCCTGACGCCCCAAATTTCCCAGTCCGTCTTTTATTAAGTTATTTTTAAGCACAAAATGCTCATTTGACTGTGAAATTACAGCAGATATTTCTAGTTTCCTTAGCCTTAAATATGAAAACAAACAGAAAATGGATGACAGATGTGTGCAAAGGACACATGGAAGGATGCACAGACGGATGGACGAACAGAGAAAAACAAGTGGATGGGCCGGAAGACAAAGAAGATATGAACGAATGAAGGACAGATAGTTGAGGGATAAGTAGATGAGACAGATGTATCTTCTAAACTATGGTATAAAATCTGGAAATTTTAATATTTTCCCACATTTCTGAACTTTACTGGCAGTCTGTCAAACCTTCAAAATCATTTAATCATCAGAAAACAACTACTGAACCAAGGTCTTGATTCAAAGCTGAACTTTGACCCCAGATCCTCCTCCTGCTACTCACGCTGTATGTGAATAAGCTGCTTTGGCATTTTGAAGTCCCCGGGGTAGAGCAGCTCGTAGTGCGGGATGTTGCGCTCCGCCTCGGGGACAGGGATGACCATGCTGTCCCGCTTCTCTCCGTAAACCTGCTGCGCAGAGATGGCTCTCTGGAGATGGTGCTCCTGGAAGGGAACAGAGGGTTAAAACACAAACTTCCTGGTTTGTCTTCATAATATTTAACAAACCATCTTCCATAAATATAACACATAGATTGATAAACACAGAGATGTCACTCTTAATGCCTTGGGAAAGTAAAACGCAGCTTTTTAAGTTGTAGATTGGAGCCTTTTGGGGCTTTTCTGAGCTTTATGCAACAGATGGCTGACGCAGCCGCCGCGATTTTGGGCCAATCTTGCACCAACAAGTCTTCACACAAAGCTCCTACTCATTTTACGCATCACACAATGTTCACAACCAGTTCCCTGGCTTGATTTGCAAATGTGGGTCAGCATCAAGTAAGACACACTTTAACCAAGTAGTTTTCCATCGATTGGAAAGTAGTTAAAAATCAAATGTTTCACCTCAGCAGGAAAATTAAGCAGCTTCTTGAGTCCGGTCGAAAAAGATTAGACGAGAATCATCTACTCCATATGTAACATGGTGGGAACTTGATCCATATAAGTTTGGATGTGACAGAGAGAAAAGGTGGCCAAAGTGCGGCATGGGGGCTATTTGTGGCCCCATGAATGGCTTTATTCACACTCCAGTCACAGTTTTCAGAATGGAGCCAATTTGGTCTGCAAACAAAGATGTCGATGGACAGTTTTGTTTTTAATGAGATTTTTCCCAGACAATTAAAATCTTGACATTAACCATAAAAAAAACAGTATGGCACAAGAAGCATCTTATCTTTTAATCTCATTCTGTTCTTGTTGCTAAGAAGAGACGCCCAAAAACAATTGACCTCAAATGTAAAAATAATACACTAGACTTTTCATAAAGCCATCACTCAAGATCAGCAATTAATAGTTTTCCACAACAGTGTAACTCTGGGGGAAAATAAAAGAAAAAAGGCCACAAGAAATGTATTTTTCCATTCTTATGTTAAAATTATTGCATTGGCTTTTAGCTTAGGGATTTTGGACCCTACAACAAAATTGTACATGGCATAGGAATGGTTCATAAAACAGCTGATTCATCTTCGTCCACAAACCATCTTTCAGCTTTGTAGAGAAAATGGTTTGGAAGAAATCTAAATGAAATAGAATGAGGGGCAGTTGAGAGCGATGTAGGTGACTAGAACTGGAAATATAATCACCTACTGCATTAAAATGCAATGTCACACGCTACAGTGGTGATTTTAGCAAGTCAATATATTGCAAAGCTCAATCTTGGATCAGCAGAACAGTTATAAAAATTAAACTCAAATAATTCGATCCAAAAGTGCAATTTTACACTTCAGACACTCAGTATGTGCAACATCTGGCTGAGGAACAAGCCAAAGACAGATTCATCTGCTGCTCCATCAGTTTGTCAATATTCACTGCAGTTTCAGAAATACACAAACACATAAACCCAACATAATTATTCAGGCTAAAACTCTAAAAGAAAATTACGGGTCAAGACAAACATATTTGTATCATCCTGATGTGTTAAGGAACACAAACCATAAAACTAGTCCCTCTGGCCCCAAAAAATCCCACTATTTATACTCCCCCAAACCTGTCAGTGGTACTAAACATTGAGTTTAGGACATGATGTGCATAAAGCCTCCATATCAGGTTAGTAGTAAACAACAAGAAACACAAACAAAACTTTGATGGGAAGTGATGGAGTTTTTTTTGTTATATTTAATTCTAAAACTAGTAAACGATAAGTTAAAGGTGTGAGCCGCCATTGTTGTCACTACTTATGGCAGGTTTGGGTTTATTAGTAAGGGTAGCATTTTCACAAAACAGGCATGAATACACTATAATGAATTTTTTCCCTCTTCAACCCTAAAACGCCGTTTCCGTTTTAGATAAAAACGTCATTCTTTCTTTTAGATTCATTCTACACAAAAACACTAAATAGTTCCCATTTGTCAGACCGTAAACACATCAACTAGTACAATGTTCCCTCATGTATTTGACTTTTTTTCAGATAAAGGTTACAGATATGGAATTTAACATTTATGGAGGAAATCTGGGAAAGGCTTCATTTTCTGTTGCATTTAATGGCTGAATTAAAACAAAATGATAAATGTGTTTGCATTGATAATCTTTAGTATAAAATCAGAAATCAACACAGCCATCTATAAAGAAATATGAAGGGAAGGAAGAGATGAATGATCCAGCAGGTTTCAACCAACACATCTCAGAGTTTGTATTCCAGTTTTCTATTAAATAGCATTTATTGCAACCTCACAAATCAACATACAGGTAAACAATGTGGTTTCAGAGCGGAGTTATCAGCATAAATATTGCATGTAAAGAGGCAATCAAGCTTAAGTTGCCATGATGAGTATCAGCCAGACACTGTAACCTTCCTTTGACCTGAAACACATCCTGATCTTTCTCAGCTTTGATCCTCACCACGCTTCACAGCCCAGGGATTTCCTCTGCCTGGCGTAGATTAGGGGCTTTTGTGAATGGCACACGGAGGAAAACTCAGATGGTTTATTTTAGAAGCAACAGCTACAGTTTCATTGTTTAGATTTACATGCAAGAGTGACACATCCCAACTCATCTGCACTGCAGGCTGAAAACGGGAGCAAACGAGTGAGACGTTCATAGGCTGCTTCAGTGAAATCAAACATGTTTAAACTAATAGCTCTCATACTTCGGCAGCCGAATTCAAATTCAGCTTTTCAAAACAAACAAAAAATAAAAACCACAATATTTTGAATTCATGGAGACTTTCTAGTATACGGTTGCAATTTAGTAGATGACTAGAATGAAAATTCAAACATTAAATTGGATGTTTCCTTCAGTTATGCAACAATGTTACCCGGCAGTATGTTATTAGCAACACTGGCTACACGACAAGAGAGCTAATAAGGCAAACATGTTTCCATCAATTCATTGACAGATTTTAAACTATCAGAAATTAAGGACTTGTCTCAAAACTCGGCTGTTTAGATTTTCCAATATCCAAACTAACACACCTCTGGCTATATTTTACATGTATTTCAATAATACCATAAAAGCTAACTTTTGCAAGTATTTAATATATATATATATATATGTATGTATATATCTAATAATATAAAAGTGACCTTGAGAATCTCTAAAGGGCACTTGCAAATAACTGATTCTTTCTCTTCCACACATCCCACCTCCTATCTGTGAGCTTTGTCATCTCAGCCTCTTAAATAAACATTAAGTTTAGCCATGGAGGGAAAATCCATCAGACAAACACTAGTATTAATATGCAGAACTTGAAGGCATAGAAAATGAAATACAATGTATACAATATTGTGTCCACACCCCTATATGACTGATATTGCACATACTGATCACAATTAGCCTTAAAAGAGTAAATAAATCTAATGCCAATGACTGATTTTGAACATAGTGTTAATATAAGACCTTAGAGAAGGTTTTGTGGTTCCAGATGACATTTTCCTTTTTTCCTTGCATAAAACTTGCTGTGAAAACTCCTTGAGGTTAACATTGCATTAAGTGTTTCCATTGGAACACAGGCGTGAAAAGCAAACAACTCAGTTTTTCCAATTACACTACCTGAACCAACAATCTACTAGGACAAATACTTCCTTGCATTCTTCAAAAAGATGTAAATATTACATGTTTTCGTATCATTGGTCTTTTCAGAGATCTACATATTAAACACAAAACAGAATATTTAAGGTTTCCCTTCACAGAAGGGTTGCACCAACAGGCTTAATATTTTCTCCACGTAAACATCCTGGAACAGCAGCAGCGCCATCATTTTTCTCTTCAGTCATAAATGCAGATAGGCTGGAAGAACAAACCATTTTTCACATCACACCTTCCTAGTAATAAATACACCCAAGAAAAATGGATGAGACTTGTAAAGGGTGCCATGGCAACAGAAATGTGGCCTCCTGCCGGTGTTTCCAGTCCATGCCAGTCAGGAGAAGCCAAGGAAGTTTTGGGGACAGCGATATGTTTCAGCATTAAAGTATTTAAACTTTCATTTATGGAGATGTGTTGCTTCCCGTCTAAAATAAAACAGGTAGCATCACTGGCTGAACACAGTCCAACTGATACCAGACTCTGTTTCCTCAGGCTGAAGCTGAGTTTCTCTGGTACCAAACAGGAAATACCACAGTTGCATAACTCACCATGGAAGCATGCTTCCACTTCATCAACAACTTAAATGAGCAATTTTTCCTTCTTAAGACGTCCAGTTTTGGAACAAACAGGCAAATATCACAGAGCAGGACATAAATGAGGAAATGTATGCAATTTGTGTGTGGAAATTTATTTTAAGGACTAGTTTCGCTGTTAGTTTCACGTCTGTTTTCCCTTCATCCATAAATGGATAAAATATAAAACTATAACTGGAATCTGGAAACATTAAAATGAGTTGACAGAAAGATGCCTGAATGATGACCAAATAGATGAAGGATGATGTGATGGACAGAAACTGATGACTGGATGGACGGACACGGATGGATGGGTGCAGGGACAGAAGGATGAACGGACAGATGATATATGGAGGAGCAGACAGACCAAGGATGGATGGCAGAGTTGGAAATATGGACAAACAGCTGGATTGGTCAATAAATAAGGGAATACTGACAGGAAAAGAGAATATTTTCCATAAAATACAGGGAAGTTACTTTTGATTAGAAAACTGGGACCTACGATCTTAAAAAAAAAAGTCTTAATGCTCCGTCATCTAACACCTTTAAATCAGTTACTAAAGTGCCTAAAAAGTCTAACTAGTATCAAAGTAACTCAGCTCCACGTGTGGTCATTTAGCTGACTGAGAATAGAAACAATCCCGCTGCTGCTGGAGAGGATGTGGGTCAGGGAGCCAAGCCACGGCTGCCTTGTAGTAAAACTGCCCTCTTTATCTCTTCTGTCACACTGTTATGTAATGACACCGTGTGGATGTGTACAGTAGGTGGGAGAGGGCCAGCGTGGGGGTGAGACGGGGTTCTTGCTGACTTTGCACTGTGTCAGTGTTTTCCTTGTGTTTCAGTCTGCTGTGGCATCCCAAAGGAGAAGTGTCTGAGCTCCGAGTGGAAATGAAACTGAAGAAACAAACATTTCCCAGCTGTTAAAGTAACGACAAGGCTCCTACAAGCCATACTGGATCAAAATGCTGTTATTTTCAAGTCTAAAAGTTCCACATTTTTTCCTTTAACATTTATATTGTTAAGTTTTCTCTGTTTTTCCACATCACATAAAACACAGCTGAAGTTGACTAATAAATGGCTGAATAGTGAAAGGGCTGTTTCATTCTTTTTGTGGGATTCGGATGAATTCAATTTAGCTATAAAACGCTGTAAGACTTCCAAAATACAGATACAATTAGATCACAAATGCAGATTCTTTAAAGCAGTTTGGAGTCTACTATTCTTTTCCTGAAAAAATGAATAAACTAAATGTTTGTAACCGCAAATCTATGTTGGAAAAAATAGATTTGAAGTTGTTCAGTTTTATTTTTGCATTTATTCTCTGAATATACACCAGTGACCAAAATGGGAAAAAACTTTAGTGTGATGCTATGAAAAATTTATATAGAAAACATAGGTTATATAAAAACTAGCATAGAGATAAAAACATCAGGAAAATAGTTTTTCCAGTTATTCTAACTTGGAAAAGAATAAAATTAAATTTTAATACCAATAAAGACTCATAACTGGGCGACATGTGGTCATGGGATGTAGTTCAATAACTGTGTTATTGGCGCCTGTACTATGACTGGGCGATGTATTGCGTATACTCGATGTATTGCGATATTTTCTGTTTACGATAGTTAAAATGGCTATATCGCCACTATCGAGTATAAACTGTGCTTCAAATAATAAACTTTCGCCGTCAAATTCACTGCGAGTATGGTTTAACCATGCATCAGTAGTCCCTCCCCCTTCCCAACCTGAAAATTTTCTACCAATCACGCTGCGCGGAGAAAACAAACATGGCGACGGCGAGAGTTTGAGGCGAGCCATGAATGAGACGGTAACTGAAGACGAATCAGATAAACTAGTCTAGTTCAGAAAAGAAACAGCGCTAGATCAATAATTTGGCAGTGGTTTGGATTTTATATGGAGGATGTCGAACAAAATGAGGTAATTTGTGAAATATGTCAAAACTGTTCCCGCAAATTTATCTCACCACCTAATCAGATTATTCATAGCCGCGCTGCCGCAGCGGAACTAGTCTGGGTTAAAGTGAAACCTGGAGATGGAAATATAATCCATTTAGTGCTATGCAATGGGAAAAATGACAAAACTACTCATTCTTTTGCTCTCTGTCAGCTTTACACTACACGTAGACTCATTACCGTAGCAACTGACAACAACACAACTGGTATCAGGATTCAGCCATTAAAACACTCAAACATTACCCCCACATATATCAGAACATTCAGTTTTGGGTTTTTCTGCTTGATGTGTATTTTGTGAGCATTAAGTGATCGCTGTGGCAGATTAGCCTAGCTAATACAGCGGTGGCTGATTAGCTAATTTAAACACCTGCTCTACTGGATTATCTGTCAGTTTGTGTGTTGCTCGCCTTTTTTATTTTTAAGCTGAACCAAAACACACCTTATTCCACAGCACATCTATATGTTAAGTTTGTCAAAATCAAGCATAACTGACCTACTTCCCTCTCCCTCGCAATTTTTTTTTTCTTAGTTAAAACTTATTTCTCACCTTGTTATCTAGTCATAGTGGAGACAGTTCATGGCAAAACACTGCATCCCTTTTCATATGAGCTTAAATTTAAATCTAGAAGAGAAATGGAGGCGGGAACTTGCATGAGTGAAATTATGCTCCATTGTTAAAACAACAATGGAGCTCATTTAAGAATATCATGATAAATATATATATATATATATATATATATTTATATATATACACACATTGTGTATTGTAATGTAGCAAAATTATACCTGAATATTAGATTTTCCTCATATCCCCAACCCTGTACACAAACAAAAATACTATATTCCTTTATCTGAAATCTAAAACCAGTGTTTAACTTTATATTATGCCTAAAAATAAACTAAAATATGTACTTGATGATTTTATAGTAGTTCTAGTTCTTTTCAAATAAGGAAATATGCCCATCATGTATGAGAGGGAAAGTAATTAAATAATTGTAAAGGACTATTTTAGAAAACTATGATTGTTGTCATGACGACACGTTTTGCCTGGCATTTCAGAGTGGAGTATCACTTCAGTAAATCGCCCTACTTGACACAGATGAAGCAATTATATTTTTAAGTGCCATGTATTCAAACTGTCTGCCAATAACCTGTTTGGCTAGCTAGATGAACTCCAACTGCTTTCGATTTTCATATCCACCGTTTGTTTTAGTAGTAATAGAGTAGTAATAACAGAGATGAACATTGTGGAATATTATTGCATTTTTCAAAATATACTGGTAATCAATCCCAGAACTACCTATTTCTATACAATTTCCCAACAGTCTCCAATCATACATTTCACATTTAGAAGAATGCCAGAACTATTTTTTTTTTCCTTTTACAAATTGTTTTTCATGACATGTAAATCAGCATTACACTAACTTCATCAATTACAATTTTGGGTGAGCTAATAATCGGGGTCGGCCAATACTAGTTTATATGAAAGAATATTCTGCAGGCTTTGACTAAGTTTAAATATCAAACGTAAATAACTTTCAAAGTTTTGCAAAAAGAAATTTAGATATTAGCAAAATCCCCAAGCATAGATCAACTATTTTACTTGGAAGCTGAAAATGGGTAACAGTCAGTTGAAGCTAATATTCCTATCACCACTTAAAAATAAGGCCATCTATAACCACAAATATACATATAAATGAACTGCATCTATAATGCAAACTTCAAATAAACGTTATAAAATATATATATTGTGCAAAATTGTCATCACAAATTACAATCGCTATAAACAACACCCAACACGTTGGTTTTACTAAGTCCAAGACACTATATACAAGCTTAAAATCAGCTTTTATAAGTCGATAAATAAACGCTGAATAAAGTTTTGTAGCACGTTAATATTAAATGTGAGATTTCAAGACGTTTCTGTCTGCATTTTCCACCAAGTCACCCGGTACAGCACACATGGCACGGCTGCAACTGTCAACACGCCGATTCCGAGCTGTCAAACTGAGGCCCGCTGTCTCCCCCTGCTGTTCACGCAGCGGAATTGCACACAAACCAAGGCCTCTGCCCGCCTTTAGCAAAAAGTCAACAAAATGGTGGCGCCGACACAAGTCACGTGACTTCTTTGTGCCTTCGTGCGCCGTTTGCAGCGTAGCAGACGGCTAAAACACGACTTTTAAGTAAAACACTACAATATAGTGATATTATGATTCCCCTGGTGTAGGTAAGGTTTAGTAAATTAAAGCCTTCGTCGAGATCTGTCGTGCGCACAAAACGGCAGCAATGGCGGCCATTTTGCACAAGCTTGCGCAGGTAACATTGTGGCGCCGAAAAACACTGTCAAAGAAATCCAGCGGCGGCAGATCGCCTTTTAAAATAACATACCGATTCCTCCTCCTTTTCCATCCCAGTTGGCATCTGCGGCACCGCCCGGTTGATGGAGGCATATTCGTGCAGGTCGGGCAAATCCTCGCAGCGGAAGACGGGCAGGGGCTTACAAGCATCCAACGCCCGCGCCCGAAACGACAGTTTACTCATTTCTTATAATAAAAGATGCAGCATAAATCTCTGGGAACTGCCTGGAGTAACAGCACGTCTGCTTCGAGTTCTCATTGAGGAATCTGTCGCGGTCTCTTTTAGAGTCGGTTCTGAGGGCAGTCGTTCAGGTCCGGTTAGCAGCGCGAACAGAGCCGGGCAGGCCCGGGTCTCAGTCGCCGTCTGTCGGTCTCTCTCGCTCCTGCGCTACGCTGTTCCTGTCCGGTTCAATACGCCATGGCCAACATGGCGGACATTACAAACTCATGCAGCTCAGTGCTCGCTCCGAGCGGCCCAACCCCCTCGGTCACACAAACAGCCATTCCCACGCAGCTTCGCACGCGTGCGCGCTCGAGAAACGCTTGAGGTGCGAGGGAAAGAGGAGGAGGAGGGGAAATGATGCTGCTGATGGGTTCGGAACTTCCAGCTTTCCAGACTTGGGATGTTATGCTGTTATTTACCAGAGTGCCACTAGAGTTTGATTTAAAAAAAAATAAATACATATTTAAAGCAAAACCAGGGTAAATCTCTCACTATATTATTGTATAAAAACTAACAATAATTAAAATCTATACAAAAAGTCAGAAAAAAACCAAAGTAAACCCATAAAAATCTGGCATAATAAACTACTAGATTTATTAGCAATTTTACATTATAAATGTTAGACAGCACCTATTTTATTACCCAACTGATTCAAATGTCTAGCATATATCGCCACCAAGTGGAACAAAAGCAACGGGACACAAACGGATCAAAAGAAAAATGCCTGCTGGAAATTAAAATTCACTAATTCATCATATTCCATATTTAGAAATACATTAAGTCATTCCTACATTCCCAAAACTCAAATTTCTAAAGTTTGTTGTTGTTTTGCCCCATATTTTAAAAGAACAAACAAACTTCTCTAGGACTACGTGGCCAATATTTCTGCAGTAGCAACAATTTAAATGTGGATTATTATTGAAATAATAAAACAAAAAGTTACCTGCTGCAGTGCAACAAGTTAATGAAATATTGTAATAAAATTACCTTTTATATGTAACTGGATTTTTTTATGGAGGCATAACATTTCTAGGACAGCAAAGATTATCAACTACAACAGAACCCTTATAGAAAGTTACTTAAAATCATGAAGCAAAATCTTACAGAATGCAAACAGAAGCAGACAGATGTACATGGATGGATGAACATAGGTCCCAATGTGTCCTCTTCCCAAAAATGAAAACATTTATTAAAAAGCAACAAACATCATTTAGTATTCTGCTATTGGAGAATTAGTCAGGAATATGAACATGTCAATAAGCAAATGTGTGAATGCTTCTTGAATTTATGTTGTTGCAGCTAAACCATTCAGTGATGAGTTGAAGTTAGTTGGGACCAGAATGAAACTCAATTCTAAATCAGTAACCTGTTTTCTATTGTGAGACAACAATTCTGTCATTGGGCAGCAACTAAAGATTCATTTGGTCAATAAATTTCAAATTAGTATATTAGTTAAAAGCTTTTCTTTCTGTGTCTGAATTTTCACCTGTACAGTCTCAAAATCTACATTCTAACTGATGGCAGAACATCATTATTTCAGTCCTGCAGAATATAAAAACCCCACCTAAACCATACCGTGTTCCAAATTCTAAATTTGGAACACTGGTCAATTTCCTAAATGGTCAATGCAAATCAGGGTCAGTATAATTTTCAAGTCATTAAATATTACAGTATAAATAAAATTTTACTAAACCAAATTTTTTTTCAAAAATAAACTCAAAATACACTGTTCCAAATTATTATACACATATCTTATTTTAGATCTTTCAGATAAAGATCTAAAATGGATCTTTATAATGTATTCAATGGATTGTAATTTTAATTGCAAACGATCATTCTTTGAATGAGCAGCATACGTGGTCACATGTACTAAGATCAAAAGCTATTTCAATCAAAAGCATCTTAGCAGACTGAGTTACATGATATAATATAGGAGACCTTCTTTGATATCACCTGCACAATTCTTGTATCCATTGAACTTGTGAGTTTGTAGATAGTTTCTGCTTGAATGTTTTTGCAACAAGTCAGAATACCTTCCCAGAGCTGCTGTTTTGATATGAACTGCATCCCACCCTCAGATCTCCTGCTTGAGGAAACTCCAAAGGTTCTCAATAGGCCTGAGGTCAGAGGAGGAAGGTGACACACCATGACTTTCAAGGAGCTGGCTAATAATACAGATGATTAAATTTGAATATTTTTGAACTTACTGCAAATTGTTTTTGAACTTTTGAGTTAATTTAGATTTACTTGGAAGTTTTTTTGTTTGTCAATGCACATCAGTCAAAGATAATTCTAATTTATTTCATTGTAAGAACGACTTACACCCTTTTAGTTAAACAAATAACTACTCAAGTTTAATTGTTGTCTTCTATGCTCTATTTACATGTTTTCTACAATTTCTGTTCAAATTGAAAGAGTTGTTCAATCACATTTCACAAAGAAACTTTTGTTTATCTCCATGTAATTACAACTGTTCATCTACTTTTTTTGGAGAATTTTAAAGATTGTAAAAAATATGTTTCTATCTATATGAGTAATCGATTCTTGTGACATCTTACAATCAAGCACAAACAAAAGTTGCTACAAAGAGACTATTCTTTTTATGACACTTTCTATACTTTTACTGCCTTAGATTAGCATCACAGCATCTTATAAGACTCCCAATTGTGAACACCGCACAGCTGAACATACAGCGTACAGTTAAACCCATCTGTTTGTGGTTCAGTATTCACAAACTTTTCTGTGGAATACAACTCCACATTTTTTTGAAAAAGTAACCTTTTTTTTCACACAGGAAGTGTAAAGAATTCAAAAGGCCTGTGAACAAAGCTACTGACCTGCCATTGTCTGGCGTTTGCAAAGCAGCCAATCCTGGGGAGTCATTTGTCTTAATTTTTATCATTACATATCAGCAACTGCTGTAGTGGTAAAACGGTTTCCACTGTGCCCATCAAAGCATGCTGAGGTAAATTTTGGTGTTTGAACAATTAACATAAGCAGTTATAAGTGTTTTCAGATGAGTTTAACGTATTCTAGGATTTAAGCTTCTGGCAGGCAGCTGTGGTCCCTAGCTCTTGTGAATGTAAGGGATCCACTGACAGCTTTTTATTGTCTTCACAATAGTCTGGGTTTTAAGAAATAAACAAAAAATATGCCCAAACTGGGAATACATTAACCAATAATTGATTTTTGGAGAGCTTTGTTTAAACTTATGTCAAAGAATATTGATTAAAAATGCAAATAACCTGCAGGAGTGGTTGACAATTGCCAGAGAAACCAGCATGATCCAGATGTAGGAGGTGACATCATCATCCGTTTGGAAGCAACACAATTTCTTCTAAAGTCCATAGTAGAGGCCTTTTATCAAAAAAGACAGGGGGACAAGAGACAAAACCACAAAACAGAAAATATAAGATTACAAATTAATCAAAATTAAAATACAAATTTGTTCACTAAGTCAGGAAATTTTTATTCATTTTCCAAAATCTTATTCAGTCCTTAAACAATCATGATTGTAAGTTTTTGAATTGGGCTATGTAATAAGTTTTGCTGCAACAATACAAAGAACATTCCAACACAACGCCATATACGGATAACTGATGTGAATTTGAGGACATTACAGCAAAAAGTGAACCAACATTCGCTTTATCAAATCCATATGTGTGACATATATCACTAGGAGGCCGATTGAGAGGTATTTATATTGGAATTAGGGACAGTTTGACCAACAAAGATTCCCTACAGCTGTGTTTGCACAAGGAACAGCGACACCGCAGTTAGCTGACACACAGCTGCTAACAGCCTTAGCTCTCTTATTCTGACCCTGAACTCTAAAATTATTTCATCCACCGTTGAAATACATTACATAAAGCCGACGCTCGGCTGAAATACCCCAAGTGTTAGTTTCAACTTACCCGCTGCAATGAAAATCAGAAGGAAACATACTGACGAAGGTATTTCCACTGGTTGTCATGCTAGCCCAAATGCTAATGCTGGTTAGCTCCCATTGGGACGACTAAATACAAGACACTTTCAGCTTCTTTCTATCTCTAAAAGTGCCATTAACTTAGCCTGACAGGGCAATGGCAAAGAAACATTTTGGTAAGTAAAAGTATATCGTGCTTCTAAAGGTAAATTAGGGTAGTTATTTATGATTTTTTTTTTCGAGGAGGTGAAAAAAAGATCCAAACTGACCAAGAAGCCACTTTCAAGACGAATTGTGATTGGATGACAGCTTCCACCAATCACCTGTGGAGAACTGTAGTGGAACGTCAGCTTATTGGTTGTCCTCTGCTTGGTACAATAATAACAGCAACAACATCAACAACAATAATGATAAAACAATAAAAATAAAATAAAAATAATCATAATAAATATAAAACAAAACTAAGAGAAATATTTGTTAAATAGAAACCAAAATAACAATTACTAATAATAAGAATACAAATATTAGTGAGAACAATGACAATAATATAAATAAATAATAACATTAATTGACTATGTTATTTTTGACAATTATTTTAGTCATGGTGATGATATATAAAAAGCGACATAATAATAAAGACATTATTATTATGACCAGCATGGAAGGATGCTGGTCAATATTGTAACTAAAAACAAGAAACTATCACAAATACTAAATAAATTTATGAATACTAAATACATTTATATTACTATTATATAATAATAATATAAATCTAAATAAAAATAAATTTAACAAGGAATTCCAACTGTTAATGCTTATTTTAGCATCATAGGGTTCAATAAGCAACACTGTTCTTGTAAAGAAAGGATGCAGTTTTTGTTATGTAACCCTCACTACCCTTCATGCCTCATCGTGCCCCTTCAGATGAGTCCTGTTGCAGGGCAGGGTTGCCCGTGCTGCCTCCTCTGATGCTGTTCTGACTGCATCACATGATCCTTTCCCCTGTTTTTTTCTCATGCTCACACACAGTTGAAACAGAATACTGCATAGTGGAGGCATACAAAAGCTGCAAAGCTTTACCCTCTCCTTCTGTCAGCGCCTTGATGTTAAAGCTGCATGCGCACCTTGCACAAAGAAAGGCTTCTGGATCAGATGTATTATAGAGGGAGGTTTGCTCAGCCCTCCCAGCGAGGTCATCAGCAGCCATCTCTTGATTGAAGAACATCTTAATACAGCCTATATGTTAAGCCCACTGCATTGGAAAAGTGCCAGTGCACAACTAGGTTGACTATGTTTGGATTTTCCAATGCATTAGTTTTAGAATGAGCAAATGTGTTTTACAGCTTTATGCAAGAGTATCTGTTTCTTGCATTGGTGTCAAAAATAGAATATTCTGAGGCTGCAGTGAACTGTAAAGGAATAGTAAGATGGTTCATGCTTCTAAACATGACACTTCCCTCTCCAAACATCCAGAGGGCAGTGGAGAC